AAGACTATGACATTTCTCGAGGCCTTCTAAAATGGATTGGATGTTTTGTAAAAAATGGACCGTGGAATGTTTTCAATTTGTTCTTCCACTTGTTGTCCACATTTTTTTTTGTTTACAGTCTGGGTTGTTTGTTTTGAGTGGAATAAATATTGCCAAATGCACTCCGTAGATGTGCTGTATTTTAACAGAAAATAAAACTGTTGTCCTATTGTCTCAAACATTTTAAACCTTCATAATGACAGATTCCTGTTGAGTGCTGCTCTTTGTTGAGCTCTTCATTTTCACTTTGCAAAGACGGTCACACGTCATCGCACTGTCAACAAGGAACTTGAAGTAACCACCTGTGAAGTTCTTCTGCTTCAAATTAATACCGCACGCATCTCTGTACAAGTTAGCTAGTGTTCAGTCCTAGCACATGATTCATGTTTATTCATTTGTGTGAATTGAATGACGTTCTATAAATTCAAACTGGGAACAAATCTTCTGACACCAACTGTGCTATTAAACCCTGACAAATTGAAATGCTCCAGTATTTTACGTGTTTGGCTCCATTCAAGTTTATGGTATTCTTTTCTTTTCCTTTTTTTGCAATATTCCCTAGAAGTGTCTTTCAACCGTGTCGCTGCCCAGGAGTGCAAGGCTGAACACTTTATTAGATATTGGATCAGAACTGTTTTGGTGGCGGGGAACAAGAGCACCTTTTAATGCTCTGTGGGCATTTATCAAAAACCCTTTGTGCAGCATATTTGATTCTTAACAGCATCACTACTGGCTAAGCAATGTCACTAAAAGAGCATTAAATCCTGCTAATAACAGTAACGATGCTACTGTCAGTTCTGATGTAGTAAACCGTGTACTCATCTTTTTGTTATAATCATGTGATTTGACTGTTTTGTATCTTTCTTCACAAAAGTTACACTTCACTCACTGTATTGTTAAACTAACACTATGAATATCCTTTTGTTTATTACCTCTACAGTTAACGCTACCTTAATCTCCCTACAAGCCTAGCTTTTTGTAATTAATGCTGATAGCTTGTATGTGCAACATATACTGAAAAAAAAGATTAGAATTGCAACAGTTATATTTTTTGCTTATTTACAAAATGTATTTGAACTACTAGATCAGGGGTTAAGTACATGTTGCTCATCTGTATTGTATTCAGACATCAAGCTGTGGTATAATTCAAGCCAATGTTGTGACTCTTTAGTTTTATGGATAAAAGCTATAGTCACTTTTTGAAAAAGCCAATAAATTCAAGTAAAACCGACTCTATTCTGCTTCTTTGTTGGACAGTGCAACCACAGATTCTCCATAGTGCGACGCTTGGCATTCAGACAAAAAATAGAAAACACTATTGACTTAATGAGTAGTAGAGTGAATACCTTCGCTTGGACTATACTGGGAAATGTAAATGCAAAGGGTTAACAGGGAAATATCACATATTCTTTTGCAGAAATTCTTCACATGACTTTTTTGCGACTACTTTTTTTCTATTTAAAAAAGTCTTAAAAGCTTGCATCTTGTCAGGCTGTCATATCTGTTACATTAGTGAAAACTTGTCACATTTAATGGAATGTTTAAGACTTCAAGTACATTTTCCACCAATATAACCATGAATTTAAAGGCAAAATACATACAATTAGATCATTAATTTAACCTTTACAAATAAATATTTATTGTATGTTTGAGGTTTGCAGGGTTGTAAAACTGGACTACATATTGTGTTTAATGTTTTGGCCATACTATTTACAAATCTGGGTAGAAGAATATTATAAACATAATTGTAATACAATGCAGTCCATTGCAGCTCTACCAACTACAACCATAGTAATATAGTTTAATTAACATCTGACAGCTTTACATAATTAAACATGGTAATAGGGACAGTTGTATAAAAGTGCTGATATTCTGTGAACAAAGGTAATAACTCACATGAAGGAAAGAAAATCATTTTTATTTCAAGATAAATCCAAACCTCACAAGGTCATATCAACATAATTGACAATTCATAAACCCACAAGGTTTTAATAAGGCACTTGGCACAGACTTAATCTCTGTAATCTTAAATACATTTGCTAACAGCCCAAGTACAAATGTTTTTTTGTTACAATCTTTGTAAATCTTCTGATCTTCTGGCACCAATTAAAGCTCTGCTGCTGCCTTTCAGGAATCAACAAATCGCAACAATGTCCCTGAAGTTGTAGGTATGCTGGGAATAAAACAAAGACGTTATTCAGTATATTTCATAAACAGTGTAGGATATATAGCCCGAAAAGAGTAATAAGAGAAATTGGTCAGTCTTTTTAGATAGAAGTTACAAAACAGGAATGGCCTTGAGATTTCAAGCAATCATAGCTGTGTGTTTTTAAATCATTTTTTGTTTACAGGGATCAAACTGGCTGGATTTTGAAGGTTTTGACAAGCCCATATTTTAACACCCGAGAGCCAGCCTCTAGCCTGAGGGCTGTTGGTGCAAGTAACAAAAACCCTCAATTACTGAACTGAGGAGACCGTAAATTAGAGAGCAGCTGCATGAAGTGCGTGCTCTTTTCATTTGACAGATGGGTCAACTATCTACTGTAACACTTCTCTAGCATGCAATTTGAAAACAAGCAAATGTTACCTCTCCACTAGCTCTGCACCAACAATGTCATGGATGTGATATTTCATCTGGAATTTCACATGCGAGGTGGTTCTCCGCTCCTCTAGCTCTGTCTTCAAGACTTCACTATATTTGGACTTCTTCACCATGTTGAGCACTGCTTTACGACCTAACAGGGAGAGTGGTAAGATAGTTAGAAAACAAACAGTTCTTAAATCAACAAAGCACTGTAAAAAACGGTCAGAACTAGAATTCCACATGTAAAGTAAATATAGTAGAGAGACTTTTTTCTCAACTCTCACCTTGGATAAAGTACTTGGTGAATTTGCCTGAGTTGGGAATGGAAAGCCACCAGCTGCCTGCGTCCCTCACAGTCAGGACCCCTGACTTCACCAGCTGACTAGAGGGTAAGACAATGAAGTATGTACTCATCTTTAAAGAGAGGGTTTCAGACTATAAGACATGAGAAAATTGGGCAGTTTTTCATTTTGGGAGAATAAAACTATAATAATTAAAATACAGAACACAAGTTACATGGGAGAGTTTCATACGTTATCTCAGAGTCTGTGAAGCGGAACTCCTTGAGCATCTTGTCTTTGCTGAAGCTCAGCTCTGTGCAAAGAGACTGCAACTTTTCCAAAAACTTCTCAACGGTGGCTCGTGTCGCTCTGCCATCCTCTCCTGCCAGCACTTTGGCTTTGAAGTCGGAAGCAAAAACCAGTCCAAAAGCATCTGCATCAAACCCGAGCTGGAACATCAGCAGTTCTCCTTGTTCCCGGAGTTTATTCTATGCACCAAAGGAGGATAGTGGGTTGTATTTTCACATTTAGATGGCTACACATATGACCTTTCTGACACTAAAGAGTTATCTTACCAGCTCCTTGTCCACCAAAGTCTTGTCATTATGAATGCTGTAGAGTTGGTGCTTCATAACAATTTGAGGCAATGAGTCGTTGAAAAGCTTCCTGGGGAATAGTGTCATCAGGGTCTCAAGGGTGGATCTGATGTCGGTCGGCCCTTTGAGGGATGAAGCAAGCAACAAATTGAAAAATAACTTAACATGCTATATAGAGATTACAACAGAGTTGTATAATATATTTTTAGCAGCAACACATACCATCTCCTTTACTGACAGCCCCAAACTTCTGCGTTTCATTTCTAAATCTCTTCACTTTGAAAGCGTCTGAAATCAAAGCCCGTTTCCTGTTCATATCTGGAGGAGAAAATGTGGTAGAGATATCATATCATCACTTGCAGAATTAATCTATTTGCCCATAATGCCCAGACAGCTGATTTCTCACAATAATACAACTGGAATCCACAGACCCAATGTAATTTTATCTGGGCCTTTACAAGGGCTTACACTTAAACTTATGACCACGTAGTTCTTCTCAAGAAGAAAAATCAGGACGAAAACGTGTCAATTCAGTTTAAGTTAGCTGGCTAATTTCTCCAGGCCATTAACTAAGCTTTCCCTATGAAAATACCAACTTCAAGCGTTAGGTTTTTACCCAAATTACTGCTCTGAGAAAAAACTTAAGACTTGTGTTGCTTGGTAAACACATTCAATGAGACACGACCCACCGGCTCAGTTACTTGTTTTTGCCTCTCTTGTAAACCAAGCCGATGAAGCTAGCTAATCTAGCTCACACTGAGCTCATAATCCATTATTTGACCGGTCAAAGTTGGTAAAACTCTCACCTGATAGCTACTTATATTATTTATAGCAGTATTCATATCGCTTCGGTCCCATTCGACACAACAGCTCCAACCAACAACTCAAACAGTTATTCCTCTTCTTCTTGTTTAATGGCGGGCGGCCCTTAACGTTTAAATTGCAATACCGCCATCTACTGTGCTGGAGTGTGGACCACCAGAGATCAAGGGAAAGCATTAACCACCACACAAAAATCCCTTCCAGGCTTTATCATCCTCAACACCTAATACATTCTTGAGATTTAAAAAAAAAAAACACCCCACATTGTCTCTTAAGCTGTTTTCTTGATTGCTTGCTCTACCGTGCTTTTTGCTATTGTCTTAAACCCTCCCACTTTTCCTGTATTTTTATTCAAATGTAGTCCTTTTTTCCCTTCATCCCACTGCTTTTTGCCATGATTAAATTTGTCAGTGTTATTGCTTCCATTTTTACTCAAAGATATGTGACACAACTGGGCTACCTACAAATGACACAGGAGCTTCTATGACTGCCCTACCGTTTCGTTCGATGCCCTTATGAGCTGGATTCAACATAAATCTGATTTATTTCTCAGCATGATGTAGTCTGTAAAATGATTAATGTATTTCATGAAGCATAACAGTTTTTCTCTTTCACGGTTAATTATTCGAGGTTTTGCGGCTACCACCAAGCGGATGGGAGGAGAAATTACATAGGAAGTAGCGTTGAGTTTGTTGTTAGCCTTTGGTGCTATGGTGCTAGTTATCTACCCAGCTAGCGAGATAAATACAATGTATGTATTCTTTATTCACCTCTTTTGTTAATAGGAACATATGCTATAAAATATAATAGTTGTTTTCACTCAAGATTATGTGCATTATTGTGACTTAGTGGGCATTAACAGAAACGTAACCTTATCTTAACGTAAGCTAGCTGTTGTGCATGCTGAGTATGAGTATGCTGAGTTACATTCATTCACCTGTCATTTAGTTAAGTAACTAGTTTATTTACAAAGGCAAGTTAACACACGCCTAAGCAAAGTACATGCAATAGATTTTTGTAAAACACACAAACGTACTTTTCTACAGAAAATGGTATTATAACATCTGCATCTTAACTTTTTTAATATGTCTGCATCCACATATACTTACACAGATCACGATGTAATGTGCTGAATTGTTGTGCATTTCAGTGTGATACCCTTTGTAGATCACATGCAACAATATTGTCATAACAGAACAACCACTACTGGGTGTATAAAATAAAAGTTCCTTTTCCAATCTTTAAACTGCATTCTTGATTTTTAGTTTTTGCTCTGGGGTATTTTGTGAAGCGTTCTGTAACTCCTTGGCCAGAAACCACAGATAGCAATATCTGGAATATGGATAATTCTAGCTTTATAAAGTATAGCATGAACACATTACTATATACACATTTCACAAATATCTGGTAGTCGTTTTTTTGTGTAAGCATCCACTAAAAGTTATTGTTTTTGTAACAGCATATACAATAGGTTAGCACTGACCTTTTTGTGTCAACAAAAGTGATAATGAGGCATAACATGTTTCAGCTTTCCTGCAGGAGACCAAGACATTGAAGAAAATATGAATAATCATCAAGGCCATATGTTTGTTTCATTGCTCTTTTCTTCACTAGGTAGCAATGGAGCAGCACAGATCACACAATCCCAATCCTAGCCACCAAAACCGCCCGTCAGCATACAAAAGAGAACGAGAGGACAATGGAAGAAATCACTGTGAGAATAAACACTCAGACCTAACCGCCCCCAGAATCAGTCAGGGCCAAGTCGTGGACAAAACCCACATAGCTCTTGAGAGTAGAGAGGAGCTATATGAGAGAGACTTTCCTGTGTACAAACAGCCTGTCGAAGTAGGATGTTTTTCCCTCGACTCTGAACGCAGATTCTTCAATGACGGCAGGCAAATTAGATACTATGTGGAACCTGATAGGAGGCCAAATTTTGATCTGAGGGATGGATATAAGGATCGGTTTATTAAGAGAGACGACAGTGTGAAGGAGAAGCTGGACCACATGTTACGCTGGATCTTGGCCAACAGATCAAAGCTCAGCGCAAGGGGGACAACCGCCTCATCATGGTAAGTGTAACTTTTTTTCTTTCTTATTCAGGTTAACAGGTTGAGATCAGCTAGATCCAGGGATTACCAAGTGTACAGCCCAACACCCAAAAATTAATTTGGGGTCTCCCAGGGACCCAAACTTTGAAAAACACATCATGAATGGCCTTAACATCTCTGTTCCTAAACAACTGTCAAAGAACCCAACAAACATGAATTCAAGAAAATGAAAATGAAAAAAATGAGGCAGAGCAGAAAACCCTCTCTTCCCTTTTAATGCCTGGTAAATGACAGACATGATATTACATTGAAAAATAACCGCTCTTACAAACAGTATCTTAGCTGAACAAACTGTAATTAGAAGTATTGATTCACATCTAATAATATTGATATGCAATTGGCAACCAACAACGAAATGGCCCTGGACCAATTTGGGTCAATACCCTAACTTTTTGAAATATTGCTCTAATCCAACTACATCGGACCAGAACGTTCCTGTCGGACACCTATTATTTTATCAACCTCTGCTCTTTCCAGTGATTTAGATATCGACTTTGTGACATGGCGTGGTCATCTAACCAAGCTGCTGACGGCTCCCTATGAGACGCGGGAGGGCTGGCAGCTGGCCGTCACCAGGTTCAGGGGCACGCTGTACATCAGTGAGGTGGAAACAGAAGCTGCTCGTAGGGATCAAGAGAACCGCACAGAGAGACATGAAGAGATGATGTACTGGGGATACAAGTTCGAGCAATACACATGTGCAGGTATGTAGGTTTATACACTGGATTATTATAGTGAATGCTGTTTATTTTGATTTCTTTCATTTGATGTTCTTCAAGCGTCACACTAAAAACATTTGGATTTATGTAGTCATATCTATGGAAAGCTATTTCTGCCAGGAAACGTACCAAGGTGAAATTTCAGCTAGTATTAACTTGAAATGTAACCGTCAAGTAAGTAAAAACATTTGACTAGAAAATTCTGGGATTGTATGAAAGTCAGTATTTGTATGTAATATCAATTTGACCTATCATTTCTAAATAATGACTTAGTTTTTCATATTTTCAAAAAGCGAATATTTGCATTAAATTATTAATTCAACCTAAAAAATATACCTCAGAAATGATAATAAAGACGTTTTAATATACCAATAGTAAAACACTTTTTTCATAATTTTGAGCTAAGTCTTTTACATTTTTGAAAAAAGTCAGCATTTTTCTTTATTTTCCATCATTAATTTCATGTATGCTTTTCTTCCTGGCACAAACGTGCTTCATGCATCCAGTTTGTCTTGTTTTATAACATTTGACACTCAAATAACATAAAAGGGTGGTAAGCAAATGTTTGACTAATAACGTTTCACCTTTGTCCTTCCCTGTAGATACCGTCCACAGTCGACCTGACCCAGGCGGGGTGGTTAACACCAATGAGGCCTTCTGCACTGTGGTGCAAACGCGGCTCGCAGACCACAGACTCTTGTTCTCCGAGAGGTGGACTGTCGGGACAAAGATCCCAACGCTCCGGTGCTCCTGCATGCTACATCGAACTGAAGACCTCTGCGGAGATCTGCACCCCCAAACAGCGCAGCAACTTCCACAGGTAATCTTCTAGGGCTGCAACTCACACATATTATTACCATTGGTTGTCTAGTCTATGAAATGTCAGAACATTATGAAAATGTGTATCCAAGTTTGATTGTACCAGGCAGTTTTAAAGTTTCATTTTGGTGTTCCTCAGGTTCAAGCTGCTGAAGTGGTGGGCCCAGTCTTTTCTCCCCGGAGTCCCCCGTGTTGTGGCAGGTTTTCGCGATGAAGAAGGTGTGGTCGTTGCTATGGAAACTTTTCCCATCTCTAAGATTTCCCATCTCATCAAGGTACGGTGACTTATCTAAACATTGACAAATAGATTTTGATCTTCAAGAATAATTAAAAGATTAACTCAAAATATTTTCACTTTTTCTGTCTGTTCCTCTGGACAGAATGAACACAACTGCTGGAAGCCGACAGTCTGTATGAACTTCTGCTCTGACTTCCTGTCTTTTGTAAAGCACATCGCTACTGAAGACAATCCGAGGTAAACTAAATTGCCTTGACGGACTACGTTGCTAAACCTTTTTGACATTCAAGCAAATATAATTATGAAACATTATTATTTCCCTTCCAGTGTGGTGTACCTGCTGTCCTGGGAGCCCCGCAGAGATGTGACCTTCTCCGTCCACAGGGACTCGCCGTACTGCTTCCTGCCACACTGGTTTGTGGAGGAGATGACCAGCAGTCAACCCTCGCATCAGTCCTGATTTACAACCGAGACATGTCTCATGGGAATGTTAATTCAGACCTCCAATGGAGTGTTTTTTTACCAAATGAGTTGGATTTTAATGTGTATACCTTTTTCAGTCTCAGAGGGGCTGACTGTCTGTGTAACTGATCACTTCCACATGAATGATCCTCTGTGATTTTTTAAATATTTTATTTGTTCAGCAGTACAAACTGAACCCGTGTTTTCATCTTGCATGTCGTGATTTTCAATAAAACAGCAGTAATGCATTGATGTCATTTTTTTTCTCAAACTTTATTATGTTATTACAATAATTTAAACCCCCAAACAGTAGTATTTTAATGGAAAACAAAATTCAAGTAAGTATTACATCCACAAACAAAGACGGAAAAATGTCGGTGATTATAAACAGTTCTGAAGGTCATAAATAGGATTAGTGTAGTCTAGTTACTATTGTGCCTTGGCCAATGTTCACTTAAAGTGAGGGATTAACCACATTTAAATCCTTTCTTAACTATAAATAAAGCTATTTGTTTTCCTTCTTGCTCACCTACATCAGTGACATTCTCTTTAGTCAGCACTTTCTACTTTTTCACAAACCCTCTTTTCATTGATTTTGCAGTTTTCTCGAAATACTCGTTCATTTCATGTTGTGAATTTAAAAATAACAATACCAGTCATTGAGTTTGTATCTGAAAAAAAAAAATATATATATATATATATATATATATTGGGAGGAACTCATATCTGGTTCATTTCCATTTCTGGTAAATGTACAGTGTTCTTACTACTTGAAACTAGCCTTAATTCAATGAAAAGTCAGAAGGACTTCCTCTACATCTCAAGTTAACAGATTGAACAACAAGTTAAACCAACAAAGTGAATGAACTTTCACATCGGTTTTAAGGTAAAAGACAGCGTAAACGTTGATTCACCAAATCGGAAGACGGAGAAAGAACACTTTGATAAACAAATACTGAAAATCACACATCTAACATGACACGAAGATAAAAAATGGAAGACAGAGTTGACCATGTTCATACTGACCAGTAGGAAGACGGTTAATGCATAATGGGTTTTGTGTAAATCATCAACAGTCATCACAGCTATTCATTCACAGTGCATATTTAGATATCATTTAGAGGCACTTACTGGAGTATCTTTATAATATGTAAGTTTAACTGTGTATTGTTTGAGTATTCATTTATAGTCCATTGATATTTAATTAACACATTATAGTTGTTAAAATCAAAACCATTCAGATTGTACACTAAGTCTTTACATATGTATGGGAGGTCTCTCCCTGTCAGTTATTGTTATTACTGCTAATATTTGTGAAATGATAACATGTTAAATCAGTATATTAAAAAAAACATTCATACGGCGGGATTTGATAACGTTTCAATAACACATGAGACAAGTGTGTGTGAAGTAATAACAGAGTAGGTAGCTAATCATATTGTTTTTATCATTTGCAGAAAGCCCTAAAAGTTCAAAGGAAAGTTTGATATTTTGGGGGGGAAAAGGCTTATTTGCTGTCTAGCAGAGATTAGGGTGAAAAGATTGGTACCACTCATGTTTGTGACATTTATAGTAACTGCAGCAGTTTATGCTTTAGCATAGCACAAATACTGGAAATGGGTAAAGTGCTAGCCTGATAAATGGAAAGTTAAAAGTTAAGAAAGAGACGGTATAATAAGTATCACACCAAGCTCTGGTTATGGTGTATGTCGAGGAATCGGTAGGAATTAATAAAAGTTCACTAATACATTTCTGTATTCAAGAAGGAGTGTGTTCACTGCTTCAGTCTCTTGTTAATGCCCATGACTTTGAAGGTAGCAGCAGTGATTTTCTCGTAAATAACAAACATGAGTGCAGCCGTCAGAACCGTCTGTAGGAGCTTGGCCTCCAGACCTTTGTACAAACCAAGAACACCATACCTCCTGTAATAAACGGAAACAAATGTTTTAATGGCAAGCCATTATAACATCTTCCTCAATGTGCTCACTGGTGAAGACGTTATTAACCATATATTATTATATGTTAATATAAATTATGTTAATATATTAAATGTCAGTGAATGTGTTTGTGTCCATAGCTGCACTCACTTGATCCTGTCCATTAGCATGGAGAAAATGTTGGAGAGGCTTCCCATCACGCCGCCCTTCCCATCACCTTTGTGCTGGCCGAACTGATGATAGCAAGAAGCACGTTATCTTTATTTCTTTAGATTTGATGAGAGATTATTTGAGATTGTCATGAGATTTAAGAGATATTCTGCACAATTTACATCTGTAGGGTCTACAGTATATAGTTATTACAAAGGGCTTCATTAGAGTTGTCTGTATTTCTTCATAGAACGTTTTTATTTATTTCAATTAACTCCGATGACAATGCTTTATTCTTGTCTTGCCAACAACAGATGGACCATATAATCAACATAAATTTAACAATAAAGAAATACAAAATCTCATCAGGCCTATCCTTGATAATGGCAACCTCTTGGAAAAGCAAACAAAACGGGGACATTTTATACAACATAGTATTTACCCTGAGGATGGCCTGATGGTCTGCAGAGGATATGTCGCCGTGGTAGCAACGGCCTTGGCGATGGCACCAATGAGAAAGATCTCTGCTGAGGATATCTGTGGTAGGAGAGAAATAATGAATTAATTTGGCTATAAAACAAAGTGACCACTGGCATTATTTACAAATTAACAACTGTAATTTGTATCCACAAGAGAGGCATTTTGTACAGATGTTTTTAAACAACAAAATGTGCAACATATCAAAAGTTGGTTATTATTTGCTTCATATTTTCTTGAGAAAGCCATTACTATCCAAACCAGGACTTTGGCTAGTGATGGCTTTCTCAAGAAAACATGAAGCTAAAAAATTGTAACCAATTTAACTTATTCACACAGAAAAATATGCAATTATATGAAATCAAGGAGTATTTCTGTCATCAGAACAAAAAGTAAAAAAGGCAGCAAGTGTAAATAGTTGGTCTTTACCAGCAAAAAACGTAAGACAATGTATCTTATATTAGAGCAGGTTCTCCGTCCTGTTAAGCAAGTAATTGCCCTTCAATGGGAGTATACTTGTTTTCATTTGATCAGCGTTGATGTGAGCTCACATTTTCTTGACAGCAGAGTTTTCCAACCCAGTAGAAAAGTAGAAGAGGCTGTTTAATTTGGCTATGGGAATGTATTATATTATATATACAAGGCAATGTGTTTCTTGTGTCCTCGCACCTTCTTCCCTCCATTGCCTGCCCTCCTCTTCATGGCCTCATAAATCATGAACTGTACTGCCGGGTTGATCACGAGGATGAGAGAAGGCATGACGCTGTTCCACAGAGTTCCTACTCCCTCATTGGCAATGATCTGTGAGAAAGCATCTGAGGGAAAGCCCAAACATGGCAGGGTTTACAAATGCGCAGAAATAAAAAGAACTAAACTGTGAAACCATGAGAAACATATATTGTGTTACACACCAAAGATGCCCCTGTACTGGGTCTGCTGGATGTCTTCGTTCCTGAACTTTGCCCCCTGCAGCTTCAGTCGAGTGTTGACCACCCACATGGGAGTGGTCAGGATCACATTCACCACCCCTGCAGGAACAGCAGATATTTAGGTTGCTTGAAACTTTTAGTACTTGATTATTTTCATCAGGTCATGAAGAAGTTCAACTCTACATGTGTTTACCTGATACCACACCCATGAGCAGGTCTTTCCCCGGTCTGGACGTCCCTTGGCCAGATGCTGCCAGCTTCTTCAGCGTGTTGAAGGTGTAGAAGTACACGAAGTTGGAGCAGCAGAGGCTGGAGATGACTGGTAACCATCCTCTGTACAGAGACAGACTGCGAGAAGAGATAGAGAGTCAGATTTATAAAACAAAACAGTATATATCACATTAAAGAAGCTGGACCCAAATAATATATTGGCATTTATGATTGCAAAAGTAACTGCTTTAGAGACATTTTACTTGAAATTCCAAGCAAACAGCATGTATTTTATAAAAAAATGGTATAATTTGTAACCAGCATAAAAACTATGCTTACAGGCCTTCTTCCTTTGCTATCTCAGCCAGGATGACAGGGGTAGAGTTAGAGTTGACTTTCTCTTCTCATCAACTGAAAAACAAACATAAACAGGGAAATGTTTAGAATAGTTCACTTGACAGAAAAAGTACTACTTATCCTCAATAGTATGTTTCTGCGGCTCTAAAGAAGCTTTCTCAAATCTGAAATTAACAAACCAGTTTTACCTTGATTTAGGGTTTGAGATTTTAAATGTACAATAGTGACAAACATGGGGGATACAAGGATGTTTACAAGTTATGGGGTATCAAGAAAGAGGAAAGTAAATACAATTTGAATAGATTTTTTTTATAAAGCAATCAAAAATAAGGACAAAACAACCTACATACACAAAATAAATTAACAAAAGTTGCAGGAAGGCCAGACTAAAAGAGTGAGACAAAATTGAGGATTTAAGTTCAGTATAGCTTGGTCTAACGCTATACATAATTAGTTTACTGCTTCTTCACATCTTTGCCGTGCAGGTATAGTTAATGCATGATTAAGTTAACCTTCACACCTTACTCATTCAACTCTGTTTGGAGTCGCTTCTATCAGGTAACCTCTGTACAACATGATAAGACCTCAAACTCACCCTGCAGTCTGCTCTTCGCTGTGTCCAAAGGAAAGAAGACTGTCATTGCTGTCACACTCCCCTAAAAGACAACGCATTGTAATGGGAAAACATGCCTAAACAAAGTGACAAAAGGCTCATTCACTTCATTTTCAGGTGTTTCTTCAATAGATTCTTCAACAGATTGGGAAATTATTTTTGTTACAGCAGCAGCAATGGGTTCAGGCATTACAATCCTTAAAAAGGTAGAAAAAAGTCTAAACATAATAAATACAATAAAATTAAAACAATAAACAGCAGCAAGTCTATATACATATAAGGACACGAACCACAAAGAATACTCAATATAAAATGCTATAGATAGTTCTATAAAATACCAATATATTACAGTAGCAGAAACATACACAGAAGTGGGAGAAGTACTCAGATCTTGTAATTAAGTAAAAGAGTGTAGGAATACTTTGTTGTTAGTAAAAGTCCTAAGAACAGTGAGTAAATGCACTTAATTCCACCTGTGTAATATCTAAATTACAGCTGTGTAAAGTAGCTGTTGTGTTTATGTGCATGGTTATGGATAGGGAGAAGCTAAAAACATGCACAGCCAACATTAAACTAGTAACACACAGACCAGGCTATGTCCTTCACATTATTTCATTACTTGTATTGCACTTTATCTCTGCTCACCATTGCACCTGCCACAGCGTGAACCAGCGTCTCGTAAGACAGAAGGCCGACAGCAGAGCCACCGTTGTCGGACATCTCTGCAGCCTCTCCCGGTCTGACCACAAAACACCGGAAAGTAACCGCGGAGTGACCCGAAGAGAGAGAGCCGGTGGTCGGTCTGTTTTTCTAGCTGCGGGGAAATGTTTGGGAAATTACAGAAACGGTCACTGCTCTGACTCCATAGTGTTTAAAAGCTTTGAGGCAGACAGATTAGAAAGGGGAGAGTGACGCGCAGTGTTTCCTCCCGGAGCCCATCATTGGTTGTCAACTTGTTCTTCAGTGTTGCTTATTTTCTTCTTCTGTTGGCGTTTGGAAAGCCTCAAAGACGCACGACAGCCCCCTACTGAAGTGGAGGGTGCAGTGGTGTATTAAAACAATACCAAATGCCGTTTGGAGCACAGAGGAAGCGAAATAACCATGTAAATAGAAAGCAGTGAGAATATCGTTTCTTTTTTACTTTTGTCTTGCTTTTTCTTGGCTTTTGCAGTATAGTATTTGCATTTGTTGAATGTTTATTAAGATTTTGACTTGATTAAAAGTAGGCTATTTATGACACACTGGAAATATTTCACTACAAATTAAAGTCTTGCATTCAAAAGTACTAAAGCTTTATCAGCAAAATGCACTTAACCCTTCTCTTGCGTTTCGGGTCAAAAGTGACTTTGTTTTTTATCATAAATATTGTGTTTTTCATCCAATTGCCTCAAGACCTTATGTTATCCTCCACACTAGGCCTCTGAACATACAATTGATGATCACCACTTGCATTGAATATTTAGTGATTTATTCAACAGTGAAACACCCATGATATTTTCAGTCAGAATTGACCGCCATAGAAAATGAATGGGTATGAGTGTATTATGTTCATCCTGCAGATGGAAAACATCTACGCACAAACCCCACACACACACACACACACACACACACACACACACAAACACACAACACACACACACCACACACACACACACAACACACACACACAACACACACACACACACACACACACACACCACACCACACGCACACGCACACACACACATTTGAATACTTTATTTAGTTCCACAAATTATATTACATAAGACAGGGAATCAATCGGGGCTAAGCAGCACAGAACACTTAGGGGAACACATAGCATGTCCTTCTCCACCCGGCTAAGCAGCAGCAACCTGTTAAGCCCGAGAGCCCCCTCAGTTGGGGGCTGCAGGGTGTTTTTTCACAAAACTGTGTCTCAGGGCATCTTAATATTTAAAAACCTATTAATGTGTTATACCAGATTAACGGGAAGAATCTCAGCTAACTGACGATACGAACAATTTTTACCAAAACAAAACACAAGTCTCATAAGAAGCATCTAAATGACCCCTGAGCGAAAAAATGCTAACGCATTTGGCACAGAACTCAAGATAAAGATACCCTTATTACTTATCGCAACTGCACATACAAAATATCCGATTAAAACTGAGACTCCACAGATTATATAGGTATAGTATCATCACTGAGCGATCAGAACTCGCGACAGGGGATGCAAACACAGACATCACAACACGTAGCATTACGGAGCAAAAACGGGACATCGTCTCACCTTAGCTGTTATTCTGATCAAAAGTCGTGTTCAATGGCATTAAAACGATAAAAACGCTGCTGAGGGTTAATCCATAGGTTATACCAATGTGTCTGTCACTTTGAAAAAATTATTTATAATCCATAATTCCATTTTTATGTAAAGATCGGAGAATAAAAGTTAGCTGCTAATGGTAGCCACCAGAGTTATCGCAGCTTCCAGTTTTGGCTGCGCGTCACTCTCACTCCTTATTTGGTAACGTGTGTGTATGTGGGAGTTCCCCTCGATTCCATTGGCTCTAGCGGTTAAAAGAGATGTCAATCACCAAAATCGACCAAGGGGGCCAGAGATATGGAAAATCCACCCAAATGACCCCAGAAGTGTT